AGGACTCCTTTACATGTGACACCTGGGGTTAAGTCACCAGATCACTGAAAACCAAGACTACTATGGGGAAATATTTCCTTCTTAATAGACTGTAGAGCATGACAGCATGATTTAACATTATTTTGTTTGATTGTTAAGTTATTCAGTTTCATAGAAGTGATTTTCAGCTAGCAAGGAGCAGTAAATGTGGGGGGAAAGAACAGATTTAGAATGAGTAAGTCTTGGGAACTTTTTCAAAATTACATCTGCCTTCAACACCTGCTCTCCTTAATCCCAAAATTATGATTTAGTAGCTCCAGAGTGTAATTTAGTAACACACACACACACACACACACACACACACACACACACACACAAGTTGTCAAATTGTATAGTACAGTCTGATTCACCTCTTTAATTGAGAAACAATGGTCTAAGAGACCATAATATTGTACTAATGAGTTAATTCTCTGGTTTCTTTTCCCCTTATTTCCCAAAGGCAATTGTTCTGTTTTGTTACAGTGATCTTTAAATCTTTTATTGCCATAACCATTCCTACTTCCCTAGTCATAGTATCTACTATTTCATATTTCACCTACAACATATGAAATAACCAGGAGGCATATGTGGAAAGTCAAGTTCATTATATGAGATTTCTTATTACAATACCTGGCTTGCAAAAGAGCAGGGACTTGGTGACCATGAAATAAGCAATAATTCTATACTATAGATTGTGTGATGACCAGGTCAATGTCTTTATGAAAACAAAGACATAAGACAAGCTGATCTAACTCTTAAGGAAGTCTTATTTAAAATACCATTGACTTTTAGTCTGTGCTGGCTGACATAGGGTTCTCTTCGAGGCTTTGAATCAAAATAATAAGCTTGAGAGCAAAGGTGAGAATAATATGATTGCTCTTTTGGAGTAAGAGTGGAGTATAGAAAAAGTGACCTTGGACTTGGAAGGTGACCATCATAATGAGGGGGTAGGTTAGTAAGTAATGCTAGGACATATTCAGTACTCAATAAATAATAGATTTTTAAATTCTTAAAATCTTGTGTCAATCATTATGACAAGTCAATGTTGATTTATACTCAATAAAGCCAGAATATTTTATTGACTCAAACAGGTCAAGAGTGGGCTGATCTTTTGGAAAAGAGTTTTTGTATCAGAGCAGAAAGTAAATGATGATCACTTCTCAGGGATCTCCCAGAAAGCTTTCTATGAAGAATGGGGAAGTTAGGTTAGATGAGCTTTATGGTCCATTCTAACTCTGAGTTTGTGTGAGTCATTGATTTCTTGATGGAAAGAGAAAAATGCATTAAAACAACAACAACCAAAACCCAAAACTAAACAGACTTGCTCATCTCTGAGATGAAAGAATCTCAGGATTGCCTGGGCACAGTTCTAAGCTGAGATTCTAAAGTTTAATGAAAGTCTGAGAACCCCTAGAGGAGCTATTGCTCCCTAGATGCTGAAAGTGGCCAAGGGCAGTAAGGAGAAGTTAAGAGAAGTGACCTATTGTCAGCCTAGCCCATTTGAGGCTTGCATTATATCTGGTCAGATGTGTCATCTCTATTAAGAAATGCATATGTCCCAAAACAAGACCCTAGAGCAGGTTTAAAAGACTCAATGAATCATGAAAAAGGTTTCCTTGTATGACTACATAAGATGACCCAAATTAATGCTACTTCACATTTGGATGATGCATAAATAGTTCTTTGTGCTTTCACATAATTATGTTATTTGATTGGTTGGCATATAAGTCTGAGTTGGGTATTACCTTTACCTCCAGTTTACAGAGGAGGAAACTGGGTCTTAGAGAAGGTGTCTAAGATATGACAACTAGGAAATGTCAGAAATAAGCCTTAACCACAACTTCCTAGGCTTGGTGCTCATTTTCTGCAATAGTACCATTTTCCTGGGTCTGTTGCAGTGATAAGCATAGCTGTCAGTACCTTATCACTGTTGCAGTGATAAGCATAGCTATCAGTACCTTGGTTCCAGACTAGAAATAAAATAAGAATCCATTGAACTGATTTGGTTTACAAAGTTTAAGCAGCAATCTATGCTCTAGAGTAGAGCATGGCTTTCTGCAGATCCCCAAATGTTGTGGTATAAGTAGAGCTAGCCAGATATCTACTAGAAATATACCTGTTCTCTGCTAGAAGCTGTTTATTCAAGTTTGCTAAGGGGAAGTTCAATGATATCCTCAAGCACAAGAATGGGGTTCATGTGGCTATCTCAAGAATCCAATGGTGCAAAAGCTGGGCTGTCTCCAATGCTTTGGGCCATGCTTGCTTTGTCTTCAAAACAGAGATAACTTTAAGAAACCAAATACAGTTTGGTGGATCAAGAGCTAGAGACCCCCATTGCATTTAGTAGTGTCCAGGGGCATACTTAGCTAGTGATATCATTAACTGCCCTGCCATTGTTTAAAACAAGAGCACCATTTGTGCTTTTCAATATGTCAAATATTAGGAAGTTATTGTAAATCAGTATTTTTTTTAAAAAAATTCATTTATATTGTTTGCTAAATGCTACTACAAGGACTCTTGACTATGAAAAATGACAAATGCAAAGAGCCATTCCATAGAACTACCCTATATATAATAATAAGAGCCTAATATGCAAATCTGGCAAAAAGACCAGTCGCTATGACATGCATTGACTACCACGGGGCAGATGCACAGGCCAACCAAGGAGGGTACCAGCAGGGTCACCAGCCCCCAATTGCCCCACCAGTCACCTTGTAGAGGGAGGTGACTGGCGGCGGCGGCAGGTGGGGCCGGCGTGTGGGCAGCACCAGGCCATCCAAGGGGGGTGCAGTGAGGACCCCACCGTTGCCCTGCTGGCCACCCCACAGATTGGCCCTGATTGCTAGTCAGGCCTAGGGACCCTACCCATGCACGAATTTTGTGTACTGGGCCTCTAGTGACAAAATAACTGGAAGCTCCTCTTACCTGTTGCTTTCATGGGCTATTATAGAAGGTGTTCTCTTTAAAGCTAGTGGATGTAGAGGCTGTGCAATAGGGAACTCACATTGACCACCCTATAAGTGATTAAAGACAGTCAGAATCGTCCAGGTGAGCTGTTCTGGCCATAGGGGTTGTGATGTTGCCTAGGGAACATAGTGCCAAAGTATTTCAGAGCTTGAACTTTAGAATCAGAGCTTTAGCAGTCAGAACTCTACCATTTCCTATTCATGTTGGACAACAACTCTTGTCATTACTAAATCTTATTTCTCTTGAGTGAGAAAAAAAGCAGATTCATTCATTAACTTATCATTGCTTTTAGAGTTCTTATCATGTTCCAGATGCTAGATTTATCATGGTGGATAATAAAAACACTCTCCTTTATATTTAAATAAAGTTATTACTGGACTCGTTTTATGAATTACATGAGATAATGATATAGTATAGGACTGGTCCAAGGTTTTCTTCAACTAACAGAACATTCAGGAGGTACACAAGAACTATCTTAAAATTACTGAAAGTTTTAGGATTGGTGAGGCCAACACAGCTTTGCCTGACCATCTTGTACCTCCCTTTCCCTCTACTATGGATCAAGATTAAGGACTTCCTTAGATCCCCAGAGTTGCCTCACTATCCTGGGCACAGGATTAGATGATGTGCTGTGAGAGAGGATAGAATATTTAGGAGATTTCAATGGGACTGACACTGATATCTAGGCTGCTGTGTATTTGGGGGTTGGGCCAGAGGTAAGTACTTTCTGCCTTTTAAGCCACCTTGTATAAAATCTGCAACACAGCTTCTTCTAGGTACCTGTGCCTGAAATGTCTGCAATAAAAAGGTATTTGTTAAAAAAAAAAAAAAAAAAAAAAAAAAAAGGTTCTCAACTAGACTTTTTCTTTGTGGCTCAAGGGCTGTATTTAGGACAAAAACTTCATTTTTTTTTTGACTCAGTGTTTTCTTTTTCCTTAAATTCTGAAAAGTGTTCAGGATGCATCCATCTGGTTGCGTTTTGTTAAGATGTGTATTTATAGATCTGACTTCCATTTCCTTGATCTGTATTCTTATTGTTTATTAAAATTCCAAAGCCAATGTTTCAGCCCTTGTTCTGAGACAGACAGGAGTTACCTGTTCCACAAGGACCTTTTTATTAGGATGTAGTAATCCCTGCTATGTTTACATATGATGAAGAACTAATTAAAAAGGAAACAGAGTGAGATTTCTTATAATTGGAGTAGGCTTCACTTCTAGTAACACATTTGGCAATATATTTAATTGTTTTTGTGTTATTTTAGTCCTGCATCTTTAAAATTTTATGGCAATGGTCTTTTCATGTTACAAATGACAAGGATTTACACAGTAGTGTTGCAAGAGCTGAGAGTAGAGGGTTGGAATATAATGAGGTGTTTTAGGCTGAGGCTTTGCAAGGTAACTGCCATCTTGGTCACTCCCACACTATTTCTAGAAAAGCATATTTTTGTGTGTGTGGATTCCTTTTATGGGAACTAGAAGAAGGAATTCAGAGTTTGAAAGCAAACAGAATATTATGCATTAGAATGCTACTATACTTTCAAATTCTGCGGCTGGATCAGGAGTTGATATCTGCTTTTAGGATTATCTGGGATAAAACACTATAATTTCCTTGCTTACTTAGGACAGAGGTAAATCCAGTTAATCTTAATTTAGTTTATTTATAAAGCATTAATTGAACACCCTCTTCTCTGTTTTATTTATTTTAGAATTAAGTAGTGCACAGATGGTGCTTTCCTAGCCTGAGGAAGAAGAACGCATTAGCTTTAGGTCCTTTGATTTTCTGATTCCCATATGGTCTTAACTGGCTTTCTCTCACAGAATATGACCATATGATAGCCTATTAGACATCACCCCAAAGTGAAACAAATCTCTTAAAAAAAAAGAAGAAGAAGAAGTCAGGTATGTTTATTTCACTTAGGTACACTTTGTTCTACAAAGAAATCAAGACGATGGTGGCAAGATTATATGGGAGAAGAAATGTGCCTCTTGTGAATAGAATCAATCACATGATAGATTCAACATTCCACAAAATGTACAAATTTAAGTTTGTTGTCCATTTCCCTGTGGAGAGGAAAGAGTAACAAATGAAATATTGAAGCCATAAGCATTTTATTAGCATCCAAACTTTACTAATGAACCCCCAAAATGTACCAGGTTACTTCACTTACTGATGTATTTAAGAGGAATGATTGCAATTTAGAAACATTTAACGTAAGATACAATGTTCCAAATACAACACAGTATATGTCCCTGAAAATAATATTTTAATGGATTATTTTATTTTAAGGTGATGCATATTTAGACGCCTCCTGTCATAGCATTGTAACTTTTTGCTTATAAAAAACTTATTCCATATATAATATACCATATATATTAGATGTTTGTTTTTATCCATTTATATTTTGGAAATAGTTAAAAGGAACAATATGTTTCTATACATTCTAGTATATAACTTACCATTTACCTTTTTTGTTTTTTTTGAGCTGATGCTACTTATTTTGCAGATAATTACTTTTTAACCTTTAAAATACTGTTGGCTACTTAATTTTTTTTTATTAGCACTGCAACATACATATTTTGTGGAGAAATCATACTCTGAAACAGAACAAGTTCTTTAGGTTTTTCAGATATTTTCCCCCTTTTGTACCAGTCATTAGAGGACTCTAATGTATTTAAACTGTTGAAGCTCAACAATAAACATTCTAACAAATGCAGACTTGCATATCTAGGAGGAGGAATGTTCCTTGTCCCCGGAAATAATCAAGCATAAACTGTGAGATGACTTGGTAACATTTTTTGTAGAGGGAATTTAAGCAATAAATTAGTAGTTGGAAGTGGAATTAGATTACCCTTAAATTTTCTTCCAATTCAGAGATGCTAGGCTTCTCTGGTTGACTATTATTACCAGAATATGTAGGGGTACAATGGTACCAAGTACTCCACATCCTATGAATTGTGAGAATTCTGTTCACCACACTCAATGTGAGATGATCCACATATTCCTTATGCCTTAGACCACTTCTTTGAAATGTGATACATTTGTCTTAACACAATTATTATACTTTAAATATAGAAAAAAATATTTCAATACTTACTCCATTTCAAAACAAAAGAAGCAATCATTGATATAAGTTTTGTCATCAGATCCACAAACTGGTCTATATATTGTATAACACAGTCTCTCTTCTGGTGGTAATTTTTTAAATGGACTACAATCAATCTGAAAATAGATATTAAAAATCTTTAGTTCCTTCTACCAAATTTTTATTCCCAGAATTTAGAATTTTCCAAGTTCAGAAGGCTCCCAATGCATTCATTTTTTATTCTAGTTGTCTGTCCTCATCTAATTTCTTTGAAATATATCAAGTATAGATATGTTTTATATAAGATATAAAATCATGAGTAGTAGCTGGTAATCAAATCACAATTTATTTAAATGTAGAATGCACCCACTGTAGTTAGTACTGGCTGATCTGTCAGTTTTTTTTTTTTTTTAAGCATCAGTTCTTAATGCTCATGGTACATTTTGTTTCCTACTTTTTCTCTTTTCCTTAAAAAGTTCTAAATGAATGAAAGTGGGAGATGTATTATAGAAATAAATACTATTGTTTTAATAACTAGTACACTATTGGAAACTTTTAACTATTGGTAACAAATTACTTGCTATACCTATCATCAGCACATAGATTTTTGTTAATACAAGAGGCCCGTGCACGAAATTTTTGCAAGAGTAGGCCTTCCTTCCTCCAGCTGCTGGCATTGGCTTCCCTCCAGCTGCCTGCAGGCACCCAGGACCCAGGATTCCTTAACAGGCATGGTTTTGTCCAGAAGGTTGTCTGGTCTAATTAGCATATTATGTTTTTATTATTATAGATTATAGTTGAGAACCACTGTTTGAAATTCCTGGAACAAAGCCAAGGAGATGAGCCACTTGTGGAAGCAAGTAGACAATTACTAAGCAAGAATTTCCTGTTTTGTTCTTTTTTCATCTATGAGCAAATTGAGGAGTGTGGACAGAAAAGTCAAACACATTAAAATTCAAACCCTAACTCTCCTAACCTGGGACAATTATTTTGCCTCTCTAAGCCTTAGTTTCATTATCTGCAAAATGAAGGTGATATACCTACATTGTCAGATTAAAATAACAAATGCATAACTGAGCAGATGTGTGTGAAATGCTTAGCACTACACAGCATGGAAAACACTGAATATATAATCACTATAACTTCTCTCCCTAAGCTTCCCTTCCTGGTCTGCACAAACTCCAGTTCTATATAGAAGACTGCATTCCCAGCTCTTTCTGCCCAAGAGTTCCACACAGGATATTTTACTAATTGTTTAATATTTCTACTTGGATAACCTGAAATATGCTCCAAGTTAAAGTTGAATACCTCCTCCCCTTCAGATATGTTCTAGGAGTGAACTTAGTCATTTTTCTAGTCACTGAGCCCTCGTCTTAGGCCTGAGCTGAGTGCTGGAAATACAAAGATTAGTAAGCAAGCCATGACAGCAGAGGCACCTCAAGTCTAGTGGAGCAGAGCAGAAAGTGTAGTGCCCTAATGCTGCGCACACACCAGCATGATTTCATTTCCTCTCCTTGCCTGCTCAACTCCCAGTGCCAGAATTGGTGTAATGGTCCAAAGTGACCAGGAAACGATCACGGCTTAGTGCTCATTAATCCCTGTCATTCTCACACAGCTACTAAGTCGTGAAGGATGGCTTGAATTCAGGCCTGCCTGACTCCAAACTTACGTCCTTAACATTATTTTCTTTAATAGTATAAATCAAAAGACTCAAAGATGTGAAAGGAGCTGCCTAGGCCAAAGGGTCTCACCACTAAAAAGCAGTAGAGTTTGGACTAGAATCCAAAGTGCCTGACTGCTGGTTTAAAGTTTTTGCAATCTCACCTACATTTTCCTATCAACAGTCATTACTTAATATGAGCCATGAAGGAAAGCTTTATATGAGCCAAATCTTCTTCTTCTTCTTCTTCTTCTTCTTCTTCTTCTTCTTCTTCTTCTTCTTCTTCTTCTTCTTCTTCTTCTTCTTCTTCTTCTTCTTCTTTTGAAACAGAGAACAAAGAAAGATACATGTGGATCACTTAAAAATAGTAAGAATCAGGACTTGTCCTTACTGAGCTTTGCTATGTGTGGGTACTGTGCTAAATCTTTCCAAGCACTAGGGTTTTAAGTATTGCCTGATCAAAGAGTTGGCACTGAAACCTACATACTGGTATCTAACCATTTTTCCCCCCATTATCTCCATTTCAGAAGGAAATGTACACTTTTTGAATAAAAGCAATTTTGAAACTTTAAAAAATAACTCTTCTAATGGGTAGAAATGTAATTATGTACAATGTCAAGCTTTCCTTACTGATACAGGCATTGAAATTATGTAAAATTAGCAGTTTCAAAGCAAAACAGATGTACTGACCTCTTGACTTTGTCCCGCACATTCTACCTCTGTAAGAAAAACAAATACAGAAAAAATTAATCTCTGGAAGAACCTAATTTCATTAGTAATTAATATTTATGTTTCAGCGTTCTCAACCTGTCATTATAAGTATAAGATTCTCTTCAGAATTTCTGTATCAGCATATCAAAAGTTGACCCACAAAACAGATTTTTGTTTTGGAGCAGAATTAGAGTGTAGTCAAAAGTATGGAAAAGCTGCTATAACAACAAAGAGTCTTATTTCTTCCTGTCTCATAAACAGAGTTCAGGAAATAGTAAGAGAAAACAATGGAGTTTTTAGGAAGTGTCTGCTCTTTAGTAGCAGGCAAAGATGGCAGGGGTTGAGAATTCTAGGGAGTCAGATCTTAGCTTAATAGTGGAAGGAAAGTAACAGTTCATGCTGCCCAACAATGGGTTGGACTGCTTTATGAAGAGATCAGTCCCTATAAATAATGATATCAAGTCAGAGTAGAGTCTGGATGAACACTTTCCAAAGAGGTTACACAAAATGAACTTGGCCTTAGTTGACCATTTAGGTCCACTCAGTGCCTAATATGATATGACTTAGTGATTTATTGGCGGAGACCAAAAAGAGGGCCTTTTCAAAAACTTCCCTTATTATCCATGTGAAGCGTATACCCCAGAATTATGTGGGCAGAAGATGACAGGAGCTATAGGTATCAACGGAGGAGCAGTGTTAGGAAGGAGATACTCACCAATAAGTGCCAGGGCCAAGAGCAGGACAAAGGCTGTCACTCTCATGCTGCTGACAAGGCTAAGGGCATCAGATGGAGGCAAAAGAAGTGACTTTCTGGTGTCTGTCCAGCCACTTGCCTTATATATTGTCAAGAGTTCCTGCCTCAATTGTGAAATACCTATTTGCATGATCAGAATCTTGGAAGAAGGTCAGAAACATCATCTGGGTATGGAAGTTCTTTTCTTGTGAAAGACAGATGATTTTATATGACTTTTTAATAGATAACAGGACCCCTTAAAGTTGTCATCATTTCCTTGTCTCTTTCTGATGTGAAAGTTTGAGTGCTTTCACATCTATTACACAATTTGATCTTCATAAGAAATCTGTCACATAGTTATTACCATTTTTTTTTGTTTGTTCTACAGATGGGGAAGTGAATTTACAAGGAAGTTAATTACTCTTTAGCAGGAAGATAATTTTTCCAAGTTCCCTACATGTGAGGACCTGGTACAACTGCTGTTTCCTGAAATGGTGGAAGCTGGTGGGGGAGCTGAGATTGAGTTTGATTTCAGAAATGAGTATGGTAAGTGTTCAATATTTATTTTTCCAAATTGAGAAATTGTGTTCAGTAATTAATTGCTATGCATTTTTCAAGTTCTGTGTCTCTGTACTTGCTTTCTCTTTACCTGGCATTACCTGTCCCCTGCCCAACCAACCCACTCATACTCAGATGAATTACAACTCAAGGGGAGGTTTCCTTAACATCCTATGCAGACTTAGACTCAATTTCCTCTATGGCCCCAAAGCAATTTGGTAATGTTTATGAAATACTAACTATGAATCAAGCATTATACTAATTATTATACTAGGTATATAAAAATGTATATACAGTCCTGCTCTCAAAGAGTTTTCAATCTGATAAGCATAAAAGAACACAACTACCAACTTTTCAGGATAATTTAAATACAATGTATCATAATACAAAATGCAAGGAAACAGCAGGTGAGCAAATGATGGGCAGTCAGGGAAAGGCTCTAATATTTACTGTGTGTATCTTGTGGATGTTTAGTAGTTATTTTACTTAAGCACCACAACAATAACCCCATATGCCAAGTACAGGGTTTAGGTACCCACCCAAAGTTACACAGCTTGCATGTGACAGAACTAGTTTACAAACTAACTCCTGACTCCTCAGCCACTTCTCTGCCAAACCAAATTCAGAGAAGGTTTCACAGGAGGGCTAAATTTGAGCTCAAACCAGAAAAGTAACAGCCATTTACAGCAAAGGAAACTGTGCATGTATAGACACAGAATCAGGGAAGAGGAGGGTTAGAGTCAGTGTCCTTCAGAGATAATGGGAGAACCTGAGTGGGTAACAACATGTTTGGAGCCTGGATTCCATCTTGTAGGTCAGTGGTCGGCAAACTCATTAGTCAACAGAGCCAAATATCAACATTACAATGATTGAAATTTCTTTTGAGAGCCAAAAACCGACTTCTGTGCATGGGCCATGAAGTTTCAGTTGCACAGTAAGTGTGCACCTGCATGTGGTATTTTGTGGAAGAGTCACACTCAAGGGGCCAAAGATCCCCATGTGGCTCGCAAGCCATGATTTGCTGACCACTGCCTAGGCAATGAGTAACAGATGAAGGGTTTTGAACAGGGAAGTAATAGAATCAGATTTCCATTACAGAAAGATTATTCCAATATGTTACCTAGTAATGACTTATATACCAGCATTTAAAAGAGTGTATAATTATTTTTTAATTCTTATTTATCTCCCCCTCTAGAGTTTGAGCTTTAATTGTATTGAATTCCATCTCATTTCATGAGTATGTGATCATGTGGGTATTTGTGTGTGTGCGTTTTTGTTTCTTGGAAGTCACTTGGGATTCATTGTACAAAGTTTTCTCCTGAACAACCAAATATATATGTTCCTCAATTTTCTGTGGAAACTGAGATATTACACCCCAGTCTAAGACACAAAAAAAGACAGAAGTCAAGATAAATTATCTGGGGAGAGTCTTTTAATGAGGTACAAAGAGAATTCAGTAGGTCAGTTGGGCATGAGTTTGAAGGAAAGTACAACAACTTTCTTCACTCAACAAAGTTTACTCCACGTCTGCCCCTGCCCTGCATCCTCTGCCCACCCAGCCCCCAGAACCTCTGCCACGAGGAGGAAGAAGGACATCAGAGCCCAGGGATGATGAAGAAGACACAGGATATCACTGTTCCCCATCCATGTCTACGGAGGAGTTAACATCTTCCTTCATGAAGAAACTGAACTTTTCCAGAACTTTTCCTACAGGAAGACACAGTTAAGGATTTATTAACACAAGAGGACATTTTGCATGATAGTAGAGCTGAAAGGAACCACAGAGATCTTGAGACAGAACCCCATTTTGCAGGTGAGGCAATGGAGCCTCTGCAAAGGAATGTCCTTTTCAAGGCAGAAGCAGAATTTCCCTAGGCTGGTGAACCCTTCACCCCACCTGCTGCTTCAACTGATCCCAGGGCCCAGGCTGGTCACTCAATGTCTTTAAACATCAGAGGAGGGATTCTGCCACAGGAAGATGAGGTGCCTGCAGGACCTGCGATGGAGCTGAGTTCCTGCTTTAGGAGGACAGCTCCCACTACATGTCCCCTCAGTGTCCTTGAATAGAAGCTAGTCTCTAGGTCAAAGGCCCAGTGTGTGCAGGTTAGAGAAGCATCACTTTTGTGAAGCAAACATTCTTGCAAGAAATAAATATGTAGACATGCCCTTCTGCGCTTAGGGCTTAACTTGATATTTTAACTTATCCTGGGCTCAATTATTTTTTTAGTGTGGGGCTTAGGACCCTTTCTGCAAGCAAGCTATTATATGGAACTCCACAACTTAAAATAGTCAAAAGCTGAACTTGGAGACCAACCCAAAATTATCCCGTTAACACTTTTGGTGACTTCTGATTGCCTCTACTGTACCTCTGAACTCGGGCAGCAATTTGAAAAATCATGCAATTGTTGAACTTCAACTGAGAGATGGGAGTTGGAGGTTCTGTAATGAATAGTTGGGCAAATAATGGTGGCCCAACCCTGGTCTAACTATGAGGTGGTCAGTTTTCTATCCACACCAGCTGCTTCTGGGTAGGAATAAGTACAGCTCATGCAGAGTTAAGCAGGCTCATGGAAGAAGAGAGCTTTGCAGTGGAGGGCACTGGCCTCAGCTTCTTCCCCTTCCCTGCCCCCATGGGGTACTCACAAGCTCTCAGTACACAAGTAGCATTCATTCCCATAGGTGATGTAGTCAGAACCACAAACAGGCATGTATGTGATGGGGCAAGGGATAGCCACCACTGGGTACTTCTTGTAGATGCTGCAGTCCACCTATGACAGACACAAGGGGAGTGTTCTGCATTGCTCCTGGATACCAGGCTAGGCCACCCTGCCCTCTATTGTACAGGAAGCAGAATACCAACCTACACGTTCCAGCTCAGATATTCTGATGCTGGTGTCACTACTTTAAGCACTAATGTCACTCTGACAAATACCAGTCACACTGGCACCACTTCTATTATGACTTATCCATGCAGTCAACAATTTCAGGCCAGCATTAAACTTAAATCTTACAGGAATTTTGTTTAGTCTTCAGAACAACTGACTAGAGTAGGTTCTACTATGACCCAATTTACAGGGTTGGGGGAGATGAAGGCTTGAAAGAGAGAATTTGTATAACATAAAAGTTAGGAAGTGGCAAGGTTGAGATTTGAATCCAGAGCCTGTGCAATTAACCAAGATCCTACCTCTTTAATGTTGTCTTTTCCAGAAGACTTAACCAGTGTTTCAACTGAAAGTCATCTCTCTCCTCTCTCTCTCTCTCTTTTAATTCGGGAATGATTTTAAGGCGGTGGTTATTTATGTCATATGTCTTCAAACACCAGATGAGATATCTTTATCTGTGTCTGCCTCCACTTTTTACCACCCTAAACATACTGACTACATCTACATACATAATCCTACATCTACAGTATATTTGGTAATTATTTGACGACTAAGTGACAGTCAATAGTAACTGAAATGTAATTCAATATACTCACAGTTGTTAAAGGTAGACTAGCAGCCTCTGAAATAGAAATAGAGATAGCAATGTTAATAATAAAGCAAAGTCTTGAAGTCTCATTAATGTCATTTTGATTCCAGAGATTAAGACACTGTGTTTCCTCTGGCAATAAGTCTCAGCACACATCCCATTCTTATGCAAAAATTTCAGCCATTTGCAAATAGCCATTAGGTAAACTGTTGGTTCAGGCAAGAGAATTACTTAAATTTCCTCCCTTCCTTACCATGGGACACTTCTGGAACTCATTGTGACTTTGATAATGGTTTAAAGTCAGATCAAAACAGGCAGCATTGCAGCCACCACTGGCAAGAACTGAAGCACCATCTTTGATATTCTTTCCCTTCTAATTGATATGAAAGGATGCAATACAATTTTAAGGTGTTTACATGTTATTTTATTTTTTAACCATATAAAAGTCTAATTGTTGACTCCTGGCCCTGGCGAATTGTACTTTATTTCAATCCTCCTGAAATGATTTAGAGAGGCATCCAAGTTGTTCTGTATCTTCGCTCAGAGGAACAGTATCCAATAGTATATAACAACTTCGAATGTTCTTATGTAAAAAAATTCATTTCTTTGTTCCACGGATGGAAATAAAAATCCTTGAATGGGAAGACACTGGACCTAACTCCCCTACCCTCACCCCATTTCTATTAGGGACATAAGATTCTCTCTTCCCAGGTTGGGGATATTTCTTTTCTAAACGAGTATGCTTTTTATTCTAAACCCATATAGTTAAAATCCATACAACCAGACACTTCTCTCAGATGCTCACCTCTCAGGAAAGGTTACTCGGAAAAACAAGTTTAATGGTTGTTCACTCTCTACCCTTCCCTCACCTGAGCTGCTGCAGAAGTAGGTCACTGTGCAGAGCAGGAGGAGGCCCCCAATGATCTTCATGGTGGAGGTGGCTGCTATGCAAAGGCTGCTCAGGCAGTCACAGCAGCTGGTTCAGCCATGAGGTGAGAA